CTAGGTCTCTGTGCCACAGGCTACTGCACTAAATCTTACAGGCCTTGAAACACTCAGGCTGTTCCTCCAGACGCAGCTTTGGTTTTCTGCTGATACTGTTGGTGCCAGGGCTGGTAACAGCAGACCTTGGATGGTCAGTAAACAAGTGGCTGGGTGTTATAAGAATCAGCACTTGATGATAAGAATTTTCTCTAACACCTACCTGAACTCATGGCTCAAGACAACAACAACTGGACATGGAATCACCTTTAACAGACAGTGTGTCTGACAGAGGAGCATTTATCACTCAGTTTATACTCTAATAGTTTCCATTGTAACTGTGTAGTGTTGAAGAAATATTGCACCGCACTCTTTTTCTAATGAAGTCTGTTCATTGAGTAACTTTATGGTAATGCATCCACATTAGAGAGACTCTGCCTATATACCCATACAGTTTCTGTTGAGATGAAAGGCCACTCTCACTGATACAAGTCAAAACTTAAACCCTGGGGTGTGATTCCAAGTCCGCAGGTTCTCATGGCTGTACATAAATAAAACTGAGTAGATGAAGCAGATAGATCACATGTACATCTAAGTTCTTCAAAATCCATAATAAACAAAAAGATGATGAGAGATGATGTAATCCTGCTACTGAGAAAGATTGATATCTTTATTTCCAACAGTTTTTCTGCTTCTTTCCACTGGTTCCTGAAATTCTACGTTGCACTTTGACTGGCAGAAACTTCTTAATTCAGCTGAAGCTTTTATCCAGAGAAGCTCATAATGTGGAGATTGAACAGGTAAACACTCAAACCTCTTTTTATTGTTCCAGTCTGTTACTTTTCACTTTTTACTTTTCAGAGTTCAGCACCATTATTTTTATTCCTCTTTAAGTCCTTTTCCATCTTTACTCACAGGGCCAACACATGGTGTTATCATTGCTCTGATATTAATTCTAAGGAAATTACATTTAATCAGGTAATAACAAGCTAATAGATTTAAATAGATAAACTATTGGCAGGTGATCAATAGATAATGCATTCTTACATGTGATGACTCCGATTTATTCAAATCCTGTATATTTGAATGATTCCTTTATATTTCTATCACATTTGTTTCTTTGTGCAGCTTCACAAATTTAATTAAGCTCCAAAATTTCATATGAGGTGTGTTAGTTGTATGAAACAAAACTTTCCTTAACTCTGGGTTTTACCTTCAGTGATTCATTCGCTATTGTTTTTTATAATCACTACAAAGAATCTAGACTGGATCATAAGAAACCATTGAAGTGTAACAGTGTGTGACTCCCTCTAGTGGATGTTGTGGAGTATTGTGTTGTCTTTGCTCCAAAGGTTTTTGTACAGAGTTTTGGTGTTTCCTGTCACTGTGGGCCTCAGAGCACAGTAGTACACAGCAGAGTCAGTCACTGCAGCAGAGGAGATGTTCAGATGAAATTCTTTAGTTTTCTTGTCATGTTGTAAAGATAGTCCTGGTGTGTTCTCTGAATAATCTGCGATGAGAAACTGTGGAGATGAGCTGGACTTCTGTTGATACCAGTAGAGACTTCGTACAGAGCCTGAGTAGTTACAGGACAGAGTAACAGTACGGCCCTCTGATGAAAACACCTCAGCACTGCTGGCAGTAATATCATCTTCCAGGCTGTTACCTAGTGAGGGAAACAACATGTTATATTTAGAGTTCTGTTCCAAAGTCACATATCCATCATTTGAAACACAAACATTTCTGTGGAAACAAATGATCCTGTTAACAATAGAGTCAGCAGTTATTAGTGATGAAGTGATGACTCTTTATTATCTAGATTTGTACCTTTGAAATGTTAAATTGAACTTTAGCTAAAAGGAATTTCTAAACTGGTTCTGTAAAGCTTTGAAAATGTCTTTGTGTTCCAGGTTTTCTTGTCTAAAACATACGAACCTACGAGAGCTGAGAAGAAGAATATCACAGTGAGTCTGTCCATGTTCACAGAGGTGAAATGTTGTCACTGAATGTTCAGTGGGAATAAGTTGTGAGTGGTTTTGTGAGTTGTGTTTGGTCTGATGTTCACAGCTGGAATCAAACAGTTCTCTGCCAAGCAGCACCTCTGCAGTCAGTAGGAGGAGACTCATATGTCACATTATCTTCATCTCTAAAGCTCTTCATCACATCTGTGTCTCATGAGTGAAAAGAATCTAGACTGGATCATAAGAAACCATTGAAGTGTAACAGTGTGTGACTCCCTCTAGTGGATGTTGTGGAGTATTGTGTTGTCTTTGCTCCAAAGGTTTTTGTACAGAGTTTTGGTGTTTCCTGTCACTGTGGGCTTCACAGCACAGTAGTACACAGCAGAGTCAGACACTGCAGCAGAGGAGATGTTCAGATCCATTCTGGTTTGATCTTCACTCACTTTAAAAGACAGTCCAGAGACTGGATCTGATACTTCTTTTCCTGTCCCTGTGTGAGAGATGAGGAATTCTGGTGGTTTTCCTGGATATTGTCGATACCAGAAGAAATTATCACTGATCGCTGCCTTTGTGGAGTAGTTGTAGGACAGAGTAACAGAGCTGCCTTCTGAACTGAACTCTTCAGTCTTGACTGGACTCAGTTCTTTACAGCTGACTCCTAAAGAAACAGAGAACTCTGTTATAACATGATGTAAATGTTTCAATACATAATTTACATTCATTTCCCTGCATGATCTCACATACCTGTTAGAGTAGAGACAAACAGTAGAGACAGAACATAATAGTCCAATGACAGCATGTTGAATAAAGGTAATGTTGATGGTTTGTGTATTGAACTGTGCTGAATATGGAAGTTCCTCTCTCTTCTATAGTTCAGTAACAGCTCAGCTCCTCCCTGAATCTCTCCCTCTCCTCTTAGATCTGTATTTTCTCTTCTCTCTGTGACACTTCCTCCTGGTGAACAGACTGGAGCAGATATTTTAATTTTGTTTTTGGTCATTATTTTATAACAGCAGTTAGAAAAAGGTAGCTGTGGTGAATTAAAGGGTGGATCCCATTTTTAGTATTAGCAAACACAAGAACAATGTCATCTATACTTCTAAAGTGGAGAATGTGTAACTGAAATGAACTGATAATGAAAGAAATTGGTATTGTCCAATATTACATCCAGAGTATGAGTGATACATTTATTTTATGTAGACAAGAATAAAATCCATTCAAAACAAAATCTGTGAAATATTGAAATGTGACAGAATATCTGATGATTCTAATAATAATCACATATTATTCATCATATCAGATATTGTCAGCAAAATAATGGAAACTGATGTAGTATAAAATAATTTAATGTTAATTAATCATGTCAGTGGAAAATTAGAGGACCTAGGATTGAACCCTGTGGTACACCACAATAAATCACAATCTCAGAAAATAATAGAAATTTATTTTATGTAGATGAGAATAAAATCCATTCAAACCAAAATCTATGAAATATTAAATGTAGGAGAATATTTGATGACTCAACCTCTATATGATTACTTTATTTTTGAAATATTTAATGTTTGACTAAAAAAAATTTCATTTTGAATATTTTCAGAAAGAACCTCACAAAAGTATTTTCCCTACTCAGTCGAACTTAAACTTTATTAGACATCACAGTGTAATTGTTTAATTAATTTATAAAATCCCACAACACTTCAATATCATCAGAGTTTGTGTTGAATGAAACAAAACTTTGTTATTCTGTGTTTTATCTTAACGTCTTCATTTCCTTTTTTATCATCACTACAAAGAATCTAGACTGGATCATAAGAAACCATTGAAGTGTAACAGTGTGTGACTCCCTCTAGTGGATGTTGTGGAGTATTGTGTTGTCTTTGCTCCAAAGGTTTTTGTACAGAGTTTTGGTGTTTCCTGTCACTGTGGGCTTCAGAGCACAGTAGTACACAGCAGAGTCAGACACCTGAAGCTTCTGGATCTTCAGAGGAACTGACTTGTTGTTGACTTCAGCATTAAATCTGTTTTCCTGAGAGTCTTGAGTATTTTTTGTTCCAGAGTAGCGTCGGAGTAGAAACTTGGGAAAGTCATTTTCTTCTTGTTTGTACCAGAACAAATAAGCATTCGAGGTAACGCTGGTCTCAAATTCACAGCCAAGTGTAACTGTGTGTCCTTCAGCAGCAGTGACATCAGCTGTTGGCTGGTTCACTCTGTCTTCTCCTTTACACTCTGGGAAGAACAGAACATGCAGAGGAAGAGATGAATCAATAAAGATGATTGATTAAAGGAGAACAGTCAGTAGGTTTAAAGAGTTACCTATCCAGAGAGTCAGACACACACACATGTAGAACAGATGTGATTTTCACTGATCATTGTCACTTTCAACCATAGAAAGTGTTTTTACAAGGTAACAAATGTCAGCAGAAATGATGTGCTCTGATTTCCTGTATAATAAACATTAAAAGCTCTGACTGTAGAGCTCAGTAATATGTTAAAGTGTCTGAAGAGGAAACATGTTGTGCTTTCTATCTTACCAAAGAAAAGAGCAGCAAGAATAATCCACAGCCAATGTTCCATCTCTACAACAAGGTTTAAATCAACAGGAGAAACTAGCTGATGTTCAACATTCACTCTGACAGTTGTTCTCTTCACAGCAGCAGTTATTATTGACACAGTGGTTGAACACAGTGAGGAAGTAGTGCACCGCCTACTTGATAATGTGGCCCTCTAGTGGAGGTAAAAAGTAGAGTTCAACAGTGTGGAGAAAAGGCTTCCAGCAGCTTGTCAGTGTGTCAGCTTGTGTTTTTGTACAGAGACTGTGGGTTTGCTGTCACTGTGGGCTTCACAGCACAGTAGTACAGAGCAGAGTCAGTCACTGCAGCAGAGGAGATCTGCAGATCCATTCTGGTTTTATCACCACTCACTGTAACTGACAGTCCAGACTTTGTTGTATTTTGAGTTCCCAAGTGAGAGATGAGGAACTCTGGTGGTTTTCCTGGATATTGTCGATACCAGTAAAACTCATGATTACTAGCTGCTTTTGTGGAGTAGTTGTAGGACAGAGTAACAGTGCTGCCTTCTGAACTGAACTCTTCAGTCTTGACTGGAGTCAGTTTTTCACAGCTGACTCCTAAAGAAACAGAGAACTCTGTTATAACATGATGTAAATGTTTCAATACATAATTTACATTCATTTTGCTGCATGATCTCACATACCTGTTAGAGTAGAGACAAACAGTAGAGACAGTACATAATAGTCCAATGACAGCATGTTGAATAAAGGTAATGTTGATGGTTTGTGTATTGAACTGTGCTGAATATGGAAGTTCCTCTCTCTTCTATAGTTCAGTAACAGCTCAGCTCCTCCCTGAATCTCTCCCTCTCCTCTTAGATCTGTATTTTCTCTTCTCTCTGTGACACTTCCTCCTGGTGAACAGACTGGAGCATAATTTTTAATTTTGTTTTTGGTTATTATTTTATAACAGTAGTTAGAAAAAGGTAGCTGTGGTGAATTAAGGGGTGGATCCTGTTTTCAGGATTAGCAAATACAAGAACAATATAATTTATTTTTCTAAAGTGGAGAATGTGTAACTGAAGTGAACTGATAATGAAAGAAATTGGTAATGTCCAATATTACATCCAGAGTATGAGTGATACCTTTATTTCATATAGACAAGAATAAAATCCATTCAAAACAAAATCTGTGAAATATTGAAATGTGACAGAATATCTGATGATTCTAATAATAATCACATATTGTCAGCAAAATAATGGAAACTGATGTATAAAATAATTTATTGTTAATTAATCATGTCAGTGGAAAATTAGAGGACCTAGGATTGAACCCTGTGGTACACCACAATAAATCACAATCTCAGAAAATAATAGAAATTTATTTTATGTAGATGAGAATAAAATCCATTCAAACCAAAATCTATGAAATATTAAATGGAAGAGAATATCTGATGACTCAACCTCTATATGATTACTGGATTTTTGAAATATTTAATGTTTGACTCAGAAAAAAATTAATTTGCAATATTGTCAGAGAGAACCTCACAAGGGGCGTCTTGTGGCGTAGTGGTCTAAGCAGGCGCTCCATGTGTAGAGGCTACAGTCCTCGCTGCAGTTGGCCGCGGTTCAAGTCCCACATCGGACAGCCTTTGCTGCATGTCATTCCTCCTCTCTCTGCCTCCCCATTTCCTGTCTCTCTCTATTGTCCTATAAAAGAAAGGCATAAAAAAGCCCAAAAAATTATACTTTAGAAAGAACCTCACAAAAATATTTTCCCTACACAGTTGAACTTAAGCTTTATTAGACATCAGAGTGTAATTGTTGCATTAAGTTAAAACAGTGTTCATGATGTTTTTAGTAGTGTAAGATAGTGTTATATAACCAAAGGTCTTTGGGTTTTTACCAAAACAGGCTAAGATACTGTTAATAAAATACTTTTTTTTTTAACATTAAAGGCCTGTTAAATATATAAGAAATCTATGTAAAGTTACATGTAAAAAACAGAAATTAACAGTAGATTGTTGCAATTTTAAACCCCCTACTGAGTGTTTCAACAGTTTTTTGACATTTTTTGAAAGATAAATCAAATGTTTTTATATGTGGTATATCATTTTATTACATCAAATATGAATTAATATACAAGTTTTTTATGTAAAATTATGTAATAAAAACCAACTAATAACAGTACCTTTCTGCAATTTTAAGCCTTATTATTTGTATTATAACAATGTTAGACCTTATTTATATGTAATTTCATTGTTTTTACACAACTAAATATTCTTTATTAAATATTAAAAATCCAAAAAATATGGAAAATCTCATGTAAAATTAAAGCTATAAACTGTATTTTAATTATGGAGAATTACTGTATTTTTACAAGATAGTTATTTTCCATTATTTTCGAGTATTTTTCTGGTGCCCCAGCTGCTGGAACCAAAGAGAATAAATAGGAAGAAAAACCTACAGTTGATGTTTATTTTTGCAAATAAAGATTTGTAATGAATCACTTTATTCTTTTGCTGCATGTGTGGGAGCAGGTGTGGGGGTGGGGGGACCTGGCTTGTCTTGGACACAAGCAAGGGGGGGTCCAAGGAAAAAAGGTTGTGAACCACTGCTTTAGATCATAGTGTTCTAACATGGGTAAGGAACCATTACGCTGTGATTCTGTACATGCATGACAATCTTGCTCTACCAGGTCAAGGTAAAATTATGTTATTGCGTCCACATGAGCTTTAAAATTGAATTCCTCTAGTCCAAACTAATATTAGTCATCTGTTTAGAGATTAGACCAGATATGATTTATTGACTTTGGACCGTCACTGAGGAACACAGTCAACATGTATTGAAACATGCTGTGTTTCTGTAACAGTGATCAGTGATCATTATGTGTGTTGATATTTGTCCTCTGGACCAAACTGTCAGGTTGTGTCAAGTAGTTTCAGCTTTAAGAATGAAGCAGCAGTGAACATGAAGGACAGCCTCAGAGGATGTGTCTGTTCTTATTTGTATTAATTCTGCTCATCCTATGAGTTATAATCCCACACCTCATTATCATCAGAGTTTCATTGTTTTATGATTCAACAGATTCTGCATTTTCCTCAGTACAAAGCATGGATTGAACTGTTGCTTCTTAAACCTGAAGCCATTATTATCAGCATTTTTCTTACAGACCTCCTCAGCAAACAGACTTTTGTGAACTTTTAGAGATGTCTTGCATTAAGAATAATGTATGTATTGAGATGGAAGGTATTTAATTGGACAATATTTCTGTAAAATTCGTATTACCTCCTGCTAAGAGTTTAGTTGAACCACTGTCAAACTTTTGTAAAGTGTCTGGGTTTGATCAATGTTGGACTTGATATTGGCCTCAGGTGTTCTTGACATAAAGTAACTTTATTGAAATCGTAAGAGTCACAGATGAATACAGGAAATCACTGCTCTATGAGGTTCAGGTGCATCAAACAATACTCAGCTGAGGGGTTTCAACATCGGCTCTTCCAGAGGGATTGGAGCAAGGATGGTGATAAAGTTTGGACTCTTGTGAAAGAGTGTTTTATAACTGTGCTGGATGCTGTTACTCCAATGAAGGAGACTAGAATCAAGAACAGAGAAACACAACATGGATGACAACAGAGGTTTTAGATGAAATATCTTGTGTCCCTGGCAGATTATATTGAGAAGGTAACTGTTCAATCATTAATAACTCATCCTCTTTATAAAGGTCTGCAAATACTTGAGGTCTTTCACACCAGGAGAGTGTGATACTATCTTTCATGAAAGAAGATACAAATGTATTTTTACACAAGAGTCTGAACATAGAAAGACTGAGGACATCCTGCTGTTCTTTGACGTCCTCCACATCTTGTCTGTTTGTCTTATGAGTGGATTATCAGACATGTTGAATAAACACTTATGTAAAGAAATAAAGATCATAGCTCATAGGTTGTTTCCATACATGTTGAAATATCTACGATGTAGTTATCATCATAGTAAATCTCATTATCATCAATGTTTCATTTCATTTCATTTTATGATATAAAGTCTCCATTTCTCTGATGCATTTTCTTCAGTTCAAAGAATCTAGACTGGATAATAAGAAACCATTGAAGTGTAACAGTGTGTGACTCCCTCAAAACTCCAAAGTCCACTGCCTGCAAACTGTAGAAGAAAGTCGGGGACTGTTGAATGTGAAACATGTTCCAGAAGAAGAAGAAGAAGGGAGAAGAAGAAGAAGAAGGAATTATCACCATTCAGGCTAAAACATTGTAGATATAACAATTCAAGACTTTGTGTTTATTATTCACGACTGTGATCAACTCTCTGAATCAGCTGATTTTTCTCTTCCTTTGAAATCCAGATCTGATGATTCTTCACGTGAAAGATTGTAAATGTGCAGGCAAACTCTCTTCCATCATTGTAGCTTTTAATTGCTCAGTTTACTGTTGTCAACTGAGAGCTAGACTGGATCGATAAGAAACCATTTGAAGTGTGACCAGTTGTGTGACTCCCTCTTAGTGGATTGGTGTTTTTTCCTCTTTATGGAGTATTGTGTTTGTCTTTGCTCCAAAGGTTTTGTACAGAGTTTTTGGTGTTTCCTGTCACTGCTGGGCCTCAGACACAGTAGTACAACAGCAGAGTCAGGACACCTGCAAGCTCTGGATCTTCAGAAGGAACTTAGACTTGTCTTGATTTCCGTGTTGAAAATCTTCCTGCTGATTTCTCTGTCTTTCTCTGAAAAACTGTAGTGTTGTGTCAAAACCTTGGGAAATTCATTTTCTTCTTGTTTGTACTCCAGAACAAATTAGCATTCGAGCTAACGCTGGTCTCACGAAATCACAGCAAGTGTACTGTGTGTCCTTCAGCAGCAGTGACATCAGCTGTTGGCTGTTCACTCTGTCTTCTCCTTTACGACTTGCTGTGAATTGAGACCAGCGTTTAGCTCGAATGCTAATTTGTTCTTGGTACAAACAAGAAGAAAAATGATTTTCCCAAGGTTTTGACACCAACAACTACAGTTCAGAGAAGGACGAAATTCAGCAAGAAGATTTCACACGGGGAAATCAAGAACAATTCAGTTCCTCTTGAAGATCCAGAAGCTTCAGGTGGTCTGACTCTGCTGTGTACTACTGTGCTCTGAGGCCCACAGTGACAGGCGGAAACACCAAACTCTGTACAAAACCTTTGAGCAAAGACAACCACAAATACTCCACAACATCACTAGAGGGAGTCACACACTGTCACACTTCAATGGATTCTTATGATCAGTCTAGATCAGTTTGACAAACAGGTAAAACTGAGCAATAAAAGCTACAATGATGGAGAGAGTTTGGCTGCACATTAAATCTTTCACTGAGAATCATCAGATCTGGATTCAGGAGAAGAAAATCAAGCTGATCAGAGAGTTGAATCACAGTCGTGTATAATAAACACAAAGTACTGGAATGTATAATCTACAATGTTTTAGCCTGAATGGGATAATTAAACCTTCTTCTTCTTCTTCTCCTTTCTTCTTCTTCTTCTCTGAACATGTTTTCACATTCACAGTCAAGACTTTCTCTACAGTTTGCAGCAGTGGAGCTTTTGCGAGTGTTTCAAAAAGTTGCTTTCTCTCCAGCATTGATTCAGACGTGAATTTTCTGGCAGGTTCCTCCTTCAGTCTGACCTTCCTGCGATGAATGATGATTGATGATGATGATGATGATGATGATGATGATGATTGATGATGATGATGATGATGATGATGATGGATGATGATGATGATGATGATATTGATTGAGCATCATTGTCAATTTCTAAAGCTTCCATTCAGTCTG